TATGACTGAGGTAAACCCAAATTAATGAGATGATTAGGTAAGACACAGCATTATTTCCTGTAAATTCACAGCAGAGATCTGCTGTTAAGTACAAATTGACAGCTACACTCACAGATATTCTAAGGGAATATCATAAGGTAAATAATCCCCAACAAAGATTGACCCAGGGTTATGATGATCCCATTGAGCCACATGCTAACCATACAAAGGAAACACTCTGAAGAATAGACCTCAAGCTACAGCTTAAAATAAGGTACAGCAAGAACTACTGCTTTAGCTTCCTCTGCAGCTCTGAAGCCTGACCTCTGCCAAGGTGAAATCGAAAGGAAACACTGCATGGAGCTAATTCAATACTATTTAACAGGTGCCCATTTTGACACCTAGGATAAAGGGTATTGTTCTAACATTGGTCAAAACATCCTGATAAAGGGGAAAAATTGTTATATTTCAAGTGTTGAAACTAGAAAGCTAATTTCAGATAGATGTCTAACATGTGAGAATATAAATTATTTGGGTTGATGACAGAGTAATTTCTGAGGAATAAAGATGAGAATATTAAACAGAAAAGCAAAGCCTAGGCACATATGCTGTGGCCAGGCATTCATACCTCAACATATTTTCCAAATCTGGAGGACAGGACTGGGACAGAAACACTTAAAATTACAATACCTTAACTAGAATTCAATATCTGTCTCTACTTTTTGAACTGACTACATAAAACAGAGGCCAGGGCAAATACTATTTCCAGAGAGACAAAGGGAATTCCATAGCTCTACGCTATCCAGTCCGCTGGCTCTCACATTGATACCCCAAGGCAGGTGAGACAAGGCACGTGAAAAGAGTGTGCTTCCCTCTCAGGTCTTTGGTAAAGAGCAGTTCTTGGGAAGGGGGTTAGGATAATTCTTAAAAGCACTACCTCTGAGGACTGTAGAGATAGCTCAGCAATTCAGAGCACTACCGACTCTTGAAGCAGACCCAGGTTTGATTACCAACACCCACATGGGACTTCACAGTCAGATGTAACTCCAATTCTAGGGGATCCAACACCCTTTTCTGGTCTCTGAGGGCAACAAGTTTGCATGTGATACACACATATGCAGACAGGTAAACAGTTAACTACACAAAAATAAACTAAAGAAAATAATTTAAATGAACCCATTAAGTAACTAATTCAATCATTTATAAAAGACTTCTTTTTTGGAAGTATTAAGACTAAAAAGGGAAAAATACATCTCAGATAAGAGAAATAAGTCAATTTAAGAACTCAAATGTTGGGGCTAGAGTATATCTCCACAGTATAGTATTTATGAACCATGCCAGAAATCCTATATTCCCAGAATATCAAACAGATATCTGAACACTTGGTGCTGAGTTGGTGGTGCTGCTTAGGTGGGTGGAGGTGGTATGGCTTTTCTGGAGGAAGTACATCCTTGGAGGCAGACATTAAAGTATCAGGTGCACACACCATCAGCACATTGCTCTCTACTGCCTGCTGTGGTACATGACATAAGCCCTCAGCTTTCGGCGTATGCCACCATGCCTTTGCTCTGCCATCATGGACTTGTCTGGAATCATAAGCCCAAATATACCCATTCTTCTATAACTTGCCTTGGCTATGGTGCTTTATCGCAGTAATAAAAAGTACCTAACACACACACCCAGAACAGACAAAAAGATATCTTTGGAGATGAGTCAATCGGGAGGAACTTATGAGGAAATGGTAACAATCATTCTGTTTTATGCTGATGCAGCTATCTGGTGACAGAGACAAAGTTGCACTAGAAGAGACCTGAATCCTTCCTCCTCTATTATTTTCCAGTTGTTCTGGCTTATAATTTGAAACAGAATAGCCACAGCACAACCTTGGCTTCTCTATTTCATTACCCAAACAGTACTGCTTTTCCTTTTTTATATGTACAACAGTTTTGTGATAATATGTGAACATTGTACTGTTGGTAATATGATAATGGGATCCCTCCCCATCATACAAACTTTGTAAGGAACTTGTCTGTTTGGTTTACTTCAAGGCTTTTCTTTTCCTGATGGTAATTCTTAATTCTACCTTAAGTCTTGAAGCCATCGCTAAGTGAAGGGCACAAGTCCACTAACAATTCTGTTACAGAACCTGCTGTGGCGGCCTGTCCCAGTCTCCTTTTCCTTCATTTACAGTGGAGACAGAAGAGGGAATACCTGAGGAAGCAAAAACACATGGTGTCTTTTCAACAATTGGCCCAATAAAAAAGAGAGTTGTTAATACAAGGTTAAGGAAGCTGGGCTCTTGGTACATAGTGTATCTTCATCTTCTTAGGAGGCATTCTAGGTTCAAGGGGTCAAGCTCTATATCCCAGGTGGGAAACTTGATGGTGAGGAGACAGCTGCATCTGAAAAGGTCCTTTGATTTGAGGTTGGGAGTAGGACAAGAAGTTCATTTCTGCTTCACAGGTACTGGATTCTTTGTTTTTTAAGACTTTCATCATTTCCACACCTTGCTCCCACTCCCAGTTCCTCCCAAATCTTCCTATTCTCTCGCAATCTTGTCATCTCTTGTATCATTTCCTACTACCCTTCTTTTAAAGTGAGAGTTGCTATCTGGAATCACTGCTGTGCTTGCTTCAGCACTGTGAACAAACATAAATGAGTAAGTCTTTAACTAGATATTTCATGACCATGAAGCATTACTACAGACCTGAGAGAGGGACCAAGGACCACCCAGAGATCCTGGTCTTGTAACTAAAGGATACTCTTAGTGGTTCTGGTCTGGAAGTGGTCATGTGATATTTCTGGAGGTCATGTTTTACTAAGGAATATATTCAGGTGAGGGTGTGGAGATGTGTATGGATGTCTACAAGTAAAGGTAATGAATTAGAGCAGGTTTGCACCAGAAACGTATTTCTTCAAGTTGGCTAGTTCTACCTTGTATGTCTAAGTGAGCACTGCCACTCACCACTATATTTAAGTACTATGAACTGAATCTGAATTCTCACTCAGCTGGGGGCATTTATGTGCATTCTGTTGGGTGATCTCAGCTATTTATGAATGCAACTTCATTAAAAGAGAGAGTTGTGTGAATAGATATACTAAAGAGCAGTACTAAACCAAGCTTCTCATTCATTTTCTTCCTCTGTCTTCCTTGCTCTCTGGTCTAGACACATAAATCTGCCCTGTGACCTCAAGCACCCTGTGAGAGGGTATTGAGATATTTGGCTGTCTGAGAGAAAAGGAGGTGAATTACAATGCATTTGACTAGATTCCACCCAACAATTAATCTAACCCTCAGAGAGATGGGGAGGGAGGGAGAGAAAGAGAGAGGGGAGATGGAGGGAGAGGGAGGGGGAGGGAGGGAGAGAGAGAGAGAGAGAGAGAGAGAGAGAGAGAGAGAGAGAGAGAGAGAGAGAGAGAGAGAGAGAGAGATTTTGTTCAAGACTCTACTTTTCTCACTCATGGAGTCTAGAAAGCTCAAAAATAGTACATGCCAGAATCAGTCCAGGAGTACACAGCATGGCTCATTCAAACATTCCACTCCCCTGTTCAATGAATGGTGAGTCTGGGGAAGTACATTCAGACAAAGTCAGTTAGCACTCAGCATTCACATGGAAATTGCTATTAGCCCAAGAAAGTACATGGGACAAAATTCCTATCAAGAAAATGCACTGAACATCCCTGGGGAGATACTGCTTTATGCTTAAAATGGAAAACATCTGTCCTAAAATTGTGACCAGCCTGCAAACTGGACCATTTGATCCTTAGACCATACAAGCAAATACAGTGAAAATGTTTCAAGTAGAGATACATGAACCAAATAACCAAAGTATTTACTAACATGAATCAGGAACATTAAAGAAACAACTAAATTTTAAACTCTCTTAAACCATGAAAAAGAATTCTGGAGACAGAGTCTCCCTGTATATCCCAGACTGGCCTAAACTCAAGGTCCTCCTTCGTCAGCTAAGATGACATATGTGTGCCACCACATTAAGCTCTGGGACAATCTTTCACTTTTGCAATTTTTCTAGTTGCCAACATACAGAATGCTTGGTATTAGGTTATACTAGGTAGAAATAATGAAGAAATAGTCCCTGCATCAAAACGCAAAAGAATTACAGAGCAGACATACGACAAAGGTACTGTAGAAAGGACAGTTTAGAGAACTGTTTAAGCTTCTGAATTTGTGGGAAATCAAAAGATATAGAGATTAAAAACTTCAAACATATACTCACCAAGGTCATTATTCTAATTTTACAGCTAAAAAATAAACACTACCCAATTTAGTTAATAGATTCCAAGAAGAAAAACACGGATTGAAAATGCAGCTTAATACTGCCATGGAAACCTTTCTTCCTGGCTAAAGGCAGCATCACAATATGCACAGGCCCCCATCCATCCATGATAGTAATCCTGTAGTTGAAGTGTGGAAGTGTGGAAAGTAGAGGTAGGGCAGAAATGTGGGCCATTTTCGACGTTCTGGGGTAAAAAATTCATTTTAATTGTAGTCTTGTTATTTAAATTTTAATTTATAACAAATTTTAAAAATTGGTCTCTTGCTGGGTGATGGTGGTGTATACCTTTAATCCCAGCATCAGTAAGCAGAGACAGGATTTCTGTGAGTTCGAGGCCAGCCTGATCTATAGAATGAGTTCCAGGACAGCCTCCAAAACAACAAAGAAACTGTCTGGAATACCCCCCCCCAAAATGGTTTGAAATGTTTCTAAGTATCATCTACTTAAAGAAAATCTTTGTGAGACACACCACAGAAATTGCCATCTTTGTAAGCAGATCGTGAAAAATGTATGCTCTGAAGCAGTTAAACACTGTGCTCCCTCCATCAAGCAACGAAGGAGCTTCCAAGCCCAAGACCAACAAATGTCGTGTGTTTCCTTGACTTCTCACTGAGTTACTTTTATTTATTTGGAGAAATAGAAGGGAAAACCTACCACTATCTTTCTCTACGATGTGAATAGGTATTCTTCTTATTGGTTAATAATGAAGCTGTTTGATCACGATCGCTTCAGCAGCACATATACTAAAATTGGAACAATACAGAGAAGATTACATGGCCCCTGCACAAAAATGACAGGCAAATTGGTGAAGCTTTCCCTATTTTTCTACTGTGGAAATCGGTATGGCAACTTTTCAGAAAATTAGGGATCAACCTGCCTCAAGACACTACAATACCACTTTGGGGCATATACCCAAAGGAGGCACATTCATCATAAGGAAATAACTCAATTATGTTCATAGCAGCATTATTTGTAATAGCCTGATCTTGGAAACAACCTACATGCCCCTCAGTTGAAGAATGGATAAAGAAAATGTGGTACGTTTACACAATGAAGTACTACTCAGCAGTAAGAAACAATGACACCTAAAAATTTTCAGGCAAATGGACAAAACTAGAAAAAAAAACATCCTGAGTAAGGTAACCTAGAACAAGAAAGACAAATATAGTATGTACTCACTCATAAGTGGAAACCAGACATAAAGCAAAAAACACCAGCCTACAATCCACAACCCCAGAAGCTAGAACCCTCTTCCAGAAACAGATGGAAGCAGATGCAGAAATCTACAACTAACCGTTGGACCAAGCTCCTGTAGTATAATCAAAGTGAGGGAGAAGTGATAATATGAACAAAATAATCAAGACCAGGATTGAGAAACCCACAGAATCAGTTGGCCTGAGCTAGTGAGAGATCACCTACTCTGGTCTGACAAATGGGGAACCTGAATAAGAATGAACTAGACTCCCTTAATGTAGGTGACAATGGTGCAAAAGGGACGATATATGAGGTCGCTGGCAGTGGGTCTAAGATCTAACTCTAATGCAAGCACTGACTCATTGAAGCCCATTCTATAAGAAGAGATACCTTGTTCAGCCTAGACACGTGGGTGTGAGGGGTGGGGGCGTGCCTTGGTCCTGCTTCAACAAGATGATGGAACAGATTTGGTAGACTTCCTAGGGGAGGCGTTACCCTCTCCAAGGAAAAGATGGGAGGTGGAGGTGGCTGGGGGGAGCATGAGGAGAGGACGAAGTGGGAACTGAGATTTGAATGTAAAAACTAAATTAATTGTTTAAAAATAGAAAAAAAAAGTGCTGATCGACCAATTGCCAGGCAAGATAAGGTTAGGCAAAACAAACAAACTGAGGACTCAAATAAGGAGGGGTGGAGTTGAGAAAGATAGCAGCCAATCACCTAAAGCAGGATATGTTGAAAATTAGGTAAAAAGCATTGAGCAGAGTGTCAAAACATTGATAGAAACATAGGTTAATTTAAATGGAAAAGTTACTTAGTAATAAGCCTGAGCTATTGGTTGAGCATTAATAGTTAACATAAGACTCTAAGTGACTATTTGTAAGAGGCTATGGGACAGGACCAGACAGAGAAACCTCCAACTATAATTATCAATTTATTTTTCCAGAAAAAAGACTTATTTCATTTTCATTTATGTCTGTCTGTCTGTCTGTGTTTGTGTACAACATATATGTATAGGTGTCCATAGAGCCAGAAGAGGCATTAAGAGCCCTTGGAGCTAACATTCCAGGCAATTTTAAGCCACCCAACATGGATGCTGGGAAAACAACTACGGTCCTCTCAATAAGAGTAGCAAGTGCTCTTAACAGCTGAGTCATTTTATAGTCTAGTGTCCATTTAGGTTTGTGGTTAGTGTACTTTTATATTAAGTTGAACAAACTATTCAAATTGAAAATTATTCATGAGGGGCAGAATATTGTTCTGCAATGTAGAAATCTTGTTGGTCTTACCAAGACCCAGTTTTGGTTCTGAGCACCCCACTCCAGCTCACAATCATCCCTAACATCAGCTCTAAAAGATGCCCTTTTCTGAATAAAAAGGACATCATGTATACAAGTAGCGCACAGACATATACTCAGGCAAAGTACTCATATGCATAAAATAAAAAAATTAAAGAAAACAATTGATAAAAGTATCTGAAGATATACAGTAATACTTGCACATCCTCACTCTAAGAAACCAAAACTGTTACTGCCAGCACAATTTCAGGCTTTCAGGATAGACCTTGGGGTGAAACATCTGAGGATTCTAATATTTGTTTTCTCTTATTTCGGTCTTTGGGAACCTTAAAAACTTTCTCCACCACCTGCATATAAGATTCTACCTACTGCTGAGGTGGCCTTTTTATGGTAAACTGCATGATTAAAGTTGAAGATAATGTCTTAAATTGCATCCACCCAAAAACTATGGTGTAAACAGAAAAGAGGCAGATAGACTTCAGATAATGAATGCCTATAATAATCATTGCTTTGCATATGGAGAAATTAAGAATAATCTTTTGTTGATTGTTTTGATGCTTTCAGGATGACCAATGACCAACTCTCAAGACAGGAGGACATGGAATGCTACAGGCTGGGGAAATATAAAGTGATCCAGTGTCTACAGAAAACAACAGAGTGGTTCCTCCAAAAGTTAAAGTATAGTTATGATATGATCCAGAAATTCCATTCTGAGCACAGAAACAAAAGAACTATACACAAAGACTTAATACATATGTGTTTAACAAGGTTTACATTAAATAATATTTTCAATAGCAAAAATGCCAAAGCAACACAAATAGTGATAAGAATTAGAACACATAAAGCAATTCTAGTATTTACATAGAATGGAATAGTATCTGGCCTTAACAAATGAAATCTGCCATATATTACACCTTGGGAGAACCATGAAGATTCAACATTAAGTGTAAAAAGCAAATCACAAATGTACTAAAATGATGTAAGTTCAAACAGAAGGCAGGTAGAGTAAAGTTCAGACACAAAAGTGGATAGTGATTGCCAGGAATAAAGGTAAGAGGGAGTTAGGGATGCTGTTGTCCAATGAACTCAATTTCAGGTTGGGAAAAGAAAGACTGTGGAGCCAGATAGTGGGGAGAGTCTCACAGTAAACACTAAGAATGAGGTGAGTGTTCCCAGGTTGCACAACCAAGAAAAACAAAGTGTGTAGTTTTATGGGTGGAGGGGAAGGAAGAGAGAGAGACAGAGACAGAGACAGAGACAGAAACAGAGAGATGACAGGTCAATAACATTGTATAATAAAAACTGGAAAAAGAATAAAATTCTACAGACAACCTCAGGAGTTCACTGGTCACCTAAAGACTGTCAATGACCTACAAGTCAAACATGGCTGTTAAATTTCAACACAAAGAAAAAGGAACAAGGAACTTTGTACAGAATTAGTTCTATGTTGTCCCTGTAATGACTGCCAAGTAGATCCCATGCCTAAATAGAAAGAAGTGTATTAAGCAGCAGAAATGGTTCTTTCTACCAAAAGTTCTTTCAAAACAAAAATAAAGCAAGAGCAGGTCCACATGTGCTGCTTGTGTTTCATCACTGTTTTCACACAGAATAAGAGGGCTGTTGCCTACACACCATTTCTCAGCATCAACACTCATTTTCTTATGCAATTTCAAGTTTGGTTGGCAGGTTAGAGACATTTTTTCCAACCACAGACAAAGCTTCTTTTGATACTCAAAGAAAGCATTCAAGGAAACGTTCCCAATACAAAAACAAGAAAACAACTGGGTGGGTGTTCATCAGCATCTGGGGAACAGCTGAGGTGACTCCAGTTAACTTTGGGTGGGATGTGACAATGCACTACCAAATACCTAGTCTATGTCTCCAACCAGGAACTTAGAAATGTTTGCAGAATGCCCGACTGCTGGGAGTGAGGCAGGCAGAAAAATTTTGTGTTGTTTTCTGAGACAGTATCTCATACAGCTCAGGCTGACCGAAAGAAAACTTTTTTTCTTTACTTTTGCTTTTAAGGAAAAGAATTCATTGTTTGAGGGTATGGTTCATCATGGCAGAGAAGCCTGATGGAGAGAACAGTTCTAGCTGCGAGGTAAGGAGCATGGACCAGATGTTCACATTACATCCAGTCAGAAAGCAGTAAGGGAATGCTGGTACGCCACCCGCTTTCTCCATTCCATGCAGCCACCACCCCAGCCCATTGGATGATGCCTCCACGTTCACAGTGGTCTTTCCTCCTCTGTTAAAACTACAAACAATGGTCTCCTCTGAGATTTCAATCTCACCCAGTTGACCAGAAAGACTGCCCATCACAAAAAGCTCTGCACTAAATCACTCATTGTTTCCATAAATGAAGTGAGGACTTTTGTCTCAGAACTCTGAACATTTACTCTTTCCACCTCCAGGATGCTGAGCTCCTAATCTTCCTCTATCTACCTTTCCAGAGCTAGGATTACAAGAATATGCGTTATGTAAATGGGATCAAACCCAGGGCCTCATGCATGCTGGGCCAGAATTATATGGCTGAATGAGTTACAGGCCCTGTCACTGGAGCTATATTATTGAATCTACCATGTAACCTTATGACAACCATTTAATGTTTAATATATTAGTATAAAGCACAGGAGCCCTTGATAATGAGTGTTTTATTTTAATTCCTCATTTCTTTGGTGTTATAGAAAACTGACTTCTACGTGGAACATTTACTTTTTGAAATTCAAATCCCATCATGTATCTTGAAAAGAGAGGTTGTAGTAGGAGACTGGAGAGACAGCTCACCAGTTAAAAAGGGGTTATACTAGGAGACTGGAGAGATGGCTCATCAAATAGAAGAGAGATTAGACTGAGAGACTGGAGAGATGGCTCACCAGTTAAGAGCTCTTACTGCTCCTGCAGAGAACTTGACCTTGGTTCCCAGCACCAAAGTTGAGAAAGAAGATCACAACTGCCTACAACTCCAGATTCAGAGAATCTGATGCCCTATTCTGGGCTCCTCAAACATACATACACAAACACACACACACACACACACACACGCACACGCACGCACGCACGCACGCACCACATAAATAAACAAAAACAAAATAAAAATTTTGTAAGGCTATACAATGAAGGATAGACAATGACAGACCAGTAGCAAACAGCACTCATGTGATGGAGGTGACATTGTTACGGACTCTTTTTATACACTGCTAATCCTGAAAATCACCCCATGAAGTGGCTGCCACTGGCATTCTCTCCAAAGTTGAAACAGACATAGAACATAAATAATCTGACAAATATCACAAACATTACACAGCTGGTTAAGTAGGTGAACCAGACAGG